GAAGAGGAGGAGAAGAAGGAGGAGGAGGAGAAGGAGGAGGAGGAGAAAGAGGAGGAAGAGGAGGAGGAGGATGGGGGGAGGAGGAGGAGGAGGGGGAGGAGGAGGAGGAGGAGAAATAATCCAGAGTCCAGTGTTTGTAGATGTGTCTCTAGGGACAGCAGCAAATCCAGCAGTTGCTGGTTGCTGGTGGCCTGGTGCAGGTTCAGATTGGGACCTTAAAGGACTACATGCTAGGAGTAAGGGAGGAAAGATGGAGAGAAAACACACCAGCCTGGTCTAAAAGACAAAAACAAAAACAAAACACGCTTCAAATCAACCCAATTCTTGACTGGAGTAAAGCAATCCTAGATTGCTATTGCTCTAACAATTGTTGATAAGTCTCTGGAGGAAGATACAGTTCTCAAGTCTCAAATCATCTTAAATATCTATATATAAGGTTCAGCTCTCACTTTAAAAATAACTGGGCCTATAGATGACAAAATATGTTTTTTGTTTGTCTGTTTTCAATACAGGTTTCTCTGTGTAGCCTTGGCTGTCCTGGACTTGCTTTATAGACCAGATGACCTCAAACTCACAGAGATCCACCTGCCTCTGCCTCCCTGAGTGCTGGGATTACATAGTGGCATGTGCCACTATGCCCAGCTTCAAAATATGCTTTTTTTTTTTTTAAATAAATCTTTATTTTATGTGCATTAGTTTAAGGGTGTCAGATCCCTTGGAATTGGGGTTACAGACAGTTGTGAGCTGCCACGTGGGTGCTGAGAACTGAACCCAGGTCCTTTGAAAGAGCAGACAGCACTCTTAACCACTGAGCCATCTCTCTAGCCCCAAAATTTTGTTTTTTAAAAAGAGCAACATCAGACAATACAAAGGGGTCTATATCTACATGGAAATCCAGAAAATGGAGCAGATTTTAAACTTAAACTATGCTTAGCATATTAAAAATAAAAAGACAAGGATTTCTTGGCAAATCATAGAAGGCAAAAAAAATCTGACTAAAAGGAAATTATAAACAAAACCAAGCCTTCTAATCTATGAACTTAATGACTGGTTTAATAGCATTCAGGGTACATATAGAAACAAAGGCCTAGGGCTGGGGAGATGGCTGAGGAGGCGAAGTCCTTGCTGTGTTGGTGGAGCTGAGTCTGACCCTCGGCTCTTATGTAAAACCTGGCATGGACACATGTTCCAGAGATGGGGAAACAGGTTTCTGGTTCTTCTGGGCCAGCAGTCTAGCCTGAAGGGCTAGCTCCAGGTTCAGTGAGAGACCCTGCCTCAAAAAACAAGGTGAACATACGTGCACAAGAGAGCACACTTCATCTTAGCTAGGTGGGGTTATCATGCCTGTAATCTGGTACTTGGGAGGCTGAGGCAAGAGAAGGCAAGAGGATCCTGAGTTTGAATTCAACCTGGGTAATTTAGCAAGACTGCGTCAAACACACACACACACACACACACCAAAATACTTTAAAAAGAGGGGGTATATAAAAAGCATACAAACAGAAGCAATGTTTTAAGAAAAAAAAAAAAAGGCTGAAAATTTTCTGAAATTCATGAAAGGTACCAAAGTCAGACCTAAGTATTCCTATGCCTTCCACTCAGAATCATACAAAGAAAAAAAAAAATGTATGGAGGCCTAAAATAGTTCACTGCTGAAAACAAAAATTTCAAACAGTCAGAAAAACAGTGAATGCAGCAAGCAGGGGGTGAGGGAAGAAATTCTTACGCAAGAATAAGAGAAAGATGGCTGAAATTATCAAAAAGTTCCAAACAACAAAAAGCCAGGAAAAAACTAGGTCCCTTGATGCTAAGACAGATGATCTCTAGATTGCCAGGAAAAAACTAGGTCCCTTGATGTTAAGACAGATGATCTCTAGATTGCCAGCAAACAGTAGGTACGTTTACAGGCCAAAGCATATTAGATGATGCTTCTTGTACTAGAGATTATTTCTGATTCTGATACAAGGTTTAATACAAAGGTTCTTAATCTGTGGGCTGCAACCCCTTTGGCAACCATCTCTCTCCAAAAATATTTACATTATGATCCCTAACAGTAGCAAAATTATATTTATGAGGTAGCAATGAAAATAATCTTACAATTGGAGGTCACCGAAATATGAACTATTTTAGTAAGGTTGAGAACCACTGGTTTAAAGATGGGAGAGTGTCCAAACAATATTTAAAGGTATAACAGCTGTACTCCAACCAAGGATCAGTCAGGGAGATAACCTAGAACCCCTGCACAGATGTAGCCCATGGCAGCTCAGTCTCTAAGTCGGTGTCCTGTCTCTGACATGAACTCAGTGGCTGGCTCTTTGATCACCTCCCCCTGGGAGGGGGCAGCCTTACCAGGCCACAGAGAAAGACAATGAAGCCACTCCTGAATGGACCTGATAGGCTAGGGTGAGAGGAAATGGGAAGAGGACCTTCCCTATCAGTGGACTGGCGGAGGGGCATGGAGGAGAAGAGGGAGGGAGAGTGGGATTGGAAGGGGACTACAGCTGGGATACAAAGTGAATAAATTGTAATAAATAAAAAAATTAAAAAAGTTATAACAGCTGCAAAGACTTTGCTAAATTAAAGAAAAATACAGAACAAGGTGATTGCCTGTAAATCCCAACACTGGGAGTTCAAGGCCAGCCTGGGCTCCATTGCAAGACACTTGTCTGAGAAGACAAGAAAAGACAAACAGGCAGGCAGGCAGGCAGACAGAAAGACAGGAAGAAAGAAATGAATAAATTCTTAAATACTTTGGGTAATGAATATTTTAGCTATGGATGGATGGAAAAAAATACAGGTTTATGTGTATAATTATGCTACAGAGGACCTAGATATCATATTAAAACCTTAAAGAGAAAACCATCTACCTATAAAGGAAAAAACATGGCAAGTTTTCAATAGAAAAAATTTTCCTCAAAGCAAAATTTATCATAAAACAGATATAAAGACACAAGTATAATCTTTAAAAAGAATTCAATTTCGCATCGGAATATAAAGATCTTAAAATAAAACAGAATTCAGGACAGTATATTAAAGGAAAAAGCTAGGGCTGGAGAGATGGCTCAGTGGTTAAGAGCACTGTCTGGGCTTCCAAAGGACAAGAGTTCAAGTCCCAGCATCCACATGGCAGCTCACAACTGTCTGTACCACCAATTCCAAGGGACCTGACACCTTCACGTTAATACACATAAAATAAAATTAAATAAATTATTTAAAAAGAAAACTATTTAAAAATGCAAGGTTCAACATTAGTGGAATAACCCCATATTTGCATGTTAAAAGTAAAATATAAACAGGTACAGAAACCAAACGTACACACATACATACATACACCCCCCCCCAAACAACAACCACAAAATCTAAGATAGAGAGAAGTTTGATGGGACAGCTATCAAAAGCAAAGAACGTACTAAGTATCATTCTAATGAAAAATACCAGTATTTGGGTTGCTCAGTTTTAACATGGTAAATACAGTTTATCTCTTTATCTATTAGTTACTGTGTCCAAGTGTCTCAGTACTTTAAAAGAACATCAGATTTCCCAACAGCTCTAATATAATGAGATTCTGACGCACCAGGAAAACGTACAAATGTTCACTGGAATCACGTAGCCTTGATTAAGAGGTCTATTTACCCAAAAGAAACCACACAGGTTCGTGAAACTCTAATTCTGTTTTAAACTTTTAAAAGTGGCAGACGCATTTGCTACTCATCTAAATCAGAGCAAATAAAAATTTTATAGGCCCTAGGCAGACGACAAATACAATCTTGTACACAAAGGCCAGCCACAGATTTAGAATTCTTGTTTTAGAAATCTTCTTTCACCTCTCAACCCGAAACGTTAGCTAATGCTGGAAAAGAAAGTCAAGGGTATATAAGCTTGAGCTCCAGGTTGCGTAAAAGTGACCTTTGGGGCGTTCAACCAACTTCTGGAGAGGCTGTAAATAGCTTTTCCAATGACTTTTGCTCCCTATCCTCGTCCGAGCAGGGCCGACGTCGCGCGGGGCGACAGACCCAAGCTCGAAGCTTTGAAGCGGGGTCAGGCGGTCGCGACCCCAGCGTCCCGCGAATAAAAACCGACAGGAGGCCACCGCTTTTCTTTCAAGCCCCGGCACCCGCGGAGCAGCCGGGGTTGCACCGCCAGCGCCCGCCAGGCCCGGGGGAGACCCGCTCCGCGCTCGCCCCGGGCCCGCAGCGGGGAGGCGACGCCTCCCCCAGTAACGGCTACAACCGCCCCCGGGCAGATCCCCGCTCTGGCCGCCAGAGTCCCGGCACAAAGACCGCACACTCACTGGAAAGCGGGCCCGGGGCCCGGGCCCGGGCCGGCCCCGGGGATTCGGCGGGTCTCCCAGGGTTTGGGGGGCGGCGGCGGCTGGGACGCCATCTCTCCGCCTGCTCCGCTCCGCTCAGGGCTGCGACGGCGGCGGCTGGCCAAGGAGCGCCTCGCTTGCCAGGCGCGACGGGCCGAGCGCCGAGCCCTCGCCCCGCCCACGCCCGACGTCAGGCCGGGCCTGGCGTCCCCGAAGCTCAGACCCGAGCGAGCGAGGGAGCACCTACTTCGCAGGACGGGGAGGCGCGGGGGAGGAGACGGGAGGAACGTCCCTTCTTTACCTTCCCTAGTTTGGATTTCAAATTTGAGTAGGGGTTCATCGACATTTCTGGCAGCAGCTACTGTGACCTGGAGGCCGAGTCCCAGGAAGGCTCCTCGGCGGGGTCCGGCTCTAGAGCTACCGATAACGCCCCCCGCAGACCGGCGTTCCGGGGACCAGCTGGGGTGCGAGGCTGCCAGCCCGTGGCCTCACAGACCAGCCTGTAGCCAGAGGGGTGTGAGCTACACTTCTTCCCTGAAAGGCCTGGTACTTCCGTTCTAAAGCTCTGGTTTCCTTGGGGAACGTAACTGTGACGCGCAGTAGGTGCGCTGTCTTTAGTCTTCCCCGTTCCCACCCCGGGCCCAAAAGGGTTAAATCTTGGCTCCAGCATCCTGGGAGAAGGTAAGACCAAGTAGGTCTGAGGTGAGGGGTTAGTAACTGGGTGCCGAAGAGGTGTGGCTGGGGTTCTTTCTGTTTGTTAGCCAGGTCAAGGGTGGGAAGTTCCTAGAGCCTTAAGCAAAGAGAGTTACGGCCTTGTTGGGCCGGGTTCCCCTTGCCTCTGCCCTGCCCCCATGCAGGACCAACCACGCCTGTGCGTGTGGAAATGCATTTATAACGACCGTACGCCCCCTGCTCCCGCTTTAGTCTTTCTTACCTTTTCCATTAACGTTTTTTTTTTTGTTGTTGTTGTTGTTTTGTTTTGTAATTGTAAAAAAAAAAGTCGTTTACCTTCATTTGGTGAGACTGGGATAGTTATCTGGCACGTGGAGAAAGGAATCAAACGCTACAGAGATTCTGACATCTGGCAGGGGCTTTTGTTGCAACTTTTCAGTTCTTTCTGTAAAAGAAACAAAGAGCAGAACTCCAAACACCAGAGACCCACACTGAAAAACAGTGTGAGAGGTTTTATCAGGGCTTCTTTTCAAAGCTAAGTCCAACATCAGGTCACAACTCATATCTTCTTACGAAATTCTGCCATTTTATTACGTCGAGATGAAATCCGGTCTTCAAGGTATATGTCCTCTTTTAAATGGTAACCTGATCGAGGCGTTATTGGATTACTGCCAGGTGAAAATGGTATTGAGTCGTTTTACAGCTCTGTACTTTGTCTATTAACTTGCACTCGGGGGTTTTGTTTGTTTGTTTGTTTGACCTTACCAAGTCACTCAGCATGGTAGCATTGGCAATTCTTAACAGGTTTGGGAACTTGTCAGAGCCTGCAGATTGTGTGGTGTTATTTATTGGCTTTGCAATGATACCTTTATTCTAGTGAACTATGAAGAAATATAGCATTCAGTCTTTAAGCCAGAAGGAAGAGTCTAATTTTGCATGTTGTCAATTAAATCCAGAGGGGAGACTTCCCTCTGAGGTGTTCTTTTAAAGAGTTTACAGATGTGGGGTTTTTTTTTTTGTTGTTTTGTTTTGTTTTGTTTTAGAGATGATGTATTTGTTTCTCTTTTTGATTTAGAAGTTAATTCTGTATTGATTCAAAAGCTTGATGTTAATTATTGGAAAAAAGAAAATAACTAGTAAAGTTTCTCTGTTAGGGGACTGCAAGGATATCTCCCTCTCCCCTCCTCTCTAAACTCTTAACTCTGTAAGTAGCCCAGGTTGTCCATGAACTCAAGGTGATCCTCTTGCTTCAGTCTCTTGTGTACTGAAATTACAAATGTGGGCTACTACACCTTGAATTTTACATAATTACTTCAGCTCCTCATAGAATCTTTACTTGACATTAAACTGGAAGGTTAAGTGAGCTGGTAGAGGGGATTCAGATACTGAAGTAAGTACTTGACCACACAGACTTTTGTGACTCTTTACTTTCTTCCTTCCTTATTTCCTTCCTCACTCCCTCCCTCCTTCCTTCCTTCTGTCCTCGTATCTTAAGTACTTTCTTGAAAGGTTTACACAGGCAACCCTGAGTGGTCCCCAGCCCTGGTATCTGAAAGTTCTTAATGTCATGTCCAGAGCAAGCTTGGTTTTCTTTGTTCCTCACCCCTGAAACCCACATACTCACATAGTCAAGTTCATATTTTATAACAGATGCGACAAGCATTATTAAAGAGTACAAAAAGGAGTTTTTCAAATGAAAGCTAGTCCGTCCTTTCTTCCTTCCTTCCTTCCTTCCTTCCTTCCTTCCTTCCTTCCTTCCTTCCTTCCTTCCTTCCTTCCTTCCTTCCTTCCCTGAGACAGAGTTTCTCTGTGTAGCTTTGGCTGTGCTGGACTCACTTTGTAGACAGGCTGGCCTCAAACTCACAGAGATCACCTGCCTCTGCCTTCTAGAGCTCTGGGATTCCAGGCATATGCTATGGAGCCATCTGCTAGCTTTTCTTCTTAAGGACTTATTTGTGTGTAGCTGTAAAATACTGAAACTGCTCATTTAGTTTTTCTTTCTTTCTTCTAGCTATAATTAATTATTCAGTATGCTTCCATTGACTGAGGAAAACAAACACGTGGCCAAGTTATTGTTCAGTTCTGGAACCTGTCCAAGATGTATCTTCAGATTCTGTGGTGTGGATCTTCATACACCTTACAAATGCTCATCCAAGGTATTTTCTTCTTAACTTAAAGAATGTTTTTAATAGTTTGGAATGAATGTCAGTAGCTTTGAGTACAGTGAGTGATCCATAATACCACTAAAGGAGGAAAATTAATAAAATTATTTCTACTAAGGTAATTTTGGAATTGCAATTATCCTAAAAATTTGATGTAGGAATATAGTTGTTTTTTGAGTGATTACATTATTACTTAACATTTAGTGTAACGAAGCATCTTGTGTGGAATTTTTTGCTACATTTAATATTTGTGTAGATGTTTTATAAAGGGCATCTAAACACCATATCACAAGGTATCGCTTCTCACCAGATGCTAACGTGATGCAGCAGGATGGGGCACATCATAGTCCTGATTTTTTTTTTTTTTAAATAGAAATGAATTTGGTTACCTTTTTAAAAATTAAATCTTATTTATTATTTTTATGAGTATGTACATATTTATGAGTCGTGTGAATGCCTGTTTGTGTGTGGGCATGCGCACTGTGTATATGTATGTGTGTGTATGTATATATGTATAGATTAATTTTCTCCTTCCACTGTAGACTCTGAGAAATGAAACATTGTTAGGCTTGTATGACAAGTGCGCCTACAAACGGCCTGTATTGCTAGTTTTGGTTACCCATTGCTTGCTGTGTGTTACCATTTACATGTATGTATGAGTGTATCCTTCTGGTACTAGGGATTAAGCCCAGGGCTTTACACATGGCAGTATTCTGTCACCGATCCATGTTCCAGCCTCCACTTGTGGCACTGAGTGTATGTTCTGGGAAGTGTGTCTTTAGATGACTTCGTGCTGTGCGAACATTGTGGAATGTGCTTAAATTAAGATGGCTGCAGTATTACTAGGCAGGGTACTCTTCAGGGCCCGCCGCTCGCAGCTGTGCAGTCTGCTGTTGTCGGGAAGCCTTTAAATGGAAGCTTTATGAGAATCGTCATTCCTAGTGCTAGTGACACAGAAACTTAGTCTTTCACGCTGTGGTAATGCATAGAGAGCTACGCCATTGAATAGAATACGTTCACATAAAGCATATAACATGCCTGTGACATATGCTTGATGCCAACAGTGACATTCTTTTCAAAGACAAACATGTCTAGATATATATACTCTATAACTGTGTTTCTTACTTTAAATATTGCTAATAATGACGCAGCGATGCTATTGTTTTTCTCTATTGTTGTCTGTGTCTTCTGTGTTAGAAATATCAGTAGTGCCTACCGTTCGACTGCTTTACTGCATGTCAAGCTTTCATTTAATTTCTTGTAAGGACATGCTGAGATTATCTCTACTTTCAGATGAAGCGAGTGAAACAGAGAGATTAAGCAGCAGCCCAAAGTTAAACAGCTTATTAAATGAGCAGGCTAGAACTGAACAGTGTTTCTGAGTTCAAAGCCTAGACTTTGGGGCTAGAAGACCTGGATGTGAATCTCAGTCCCACCACTCTATAGCTTCAGTTCGCTTCTCTGTACATGGGAACGGTGGTAACTTCTACCTCACCAATTTCAAGGGGCATGACCTCTTAAGTATGTGAAAGCAATTGGAGGCCAGTGATAGTCGTTACGTGTGTAAAAGCTCAGCTTAGTCCAGCTTTGTATAATCTTCCTTACATACTTTTCCATACACGTCACAGTGTATACATATCATATATATGATATGTGTATGAAATATATCATATATATACTGTAGCCAGAATACATTTTATACAAAGAGACTATCAGCAACTTTGACTTGTAATGTTCTTTGTGAATAAGTATAAACAAAATATTTGAAGGCTTTTTTGAAATGTTTAAGCTTTATTTTGTTCCAGTCATATAGCTATCATGAGCACACACACACATACCATGTTACAGATGGCAGGTAGCAGTCAACATTTGTGTGGATCATATTATACCAGTATGTATGTATAGATGTGTGAATTTTTGTGAAAATTGAAGTGCTAATGCATCAACAAAATGAATTTAATGTTTGAATGAAAAAAATTATCTTGAGTTAGTGTAGTCTAACTGAATTCAAATGATTTCCCCAGCAACTGGACACTAAAACTGGCCCGATGTAGCACAAGGAAAACTGAGCATTTAGAGGGGTGGAGGGGAGAAGTATCAGCCTTTCAAGCGGAGGCTTGTTTTTACATTCTAATACAAGGAATGACAGAAATTGGACAAAAAATGTAGAAGAGGGCTTTTTTTGATTAATGCATATAAATGGATTGTAACTATGGCACCAAATTTTAGCACTGCAAAATGTATGTATTTTGGTAAATTGTCTCAGTTCACTTGCTCAGCCTCTAAATGATGAGATTTCACATTAATTAACACTTGGTACTTGTGAGGTTGTTAAGTAATTTAGCAAGAATAAAAATCAGCTCGTATTTTCCTCTGTGTGTGTGGACTGTGTGTGTCTGTGTGTCTGTCTGTTTTTCTGCCGTTGGAGCTGGAACCCAGGACCTTGTGCATGCTAAGTAGGTATTTTACCACTGAGCTACATCTCTGTCCTAGTTTGTGTTTTTATATTTCAGTAGTTAGAATTGAATTTCGTTTTAAATTAGTAGTGGATGCCCTTCCCAATAGAACTACAAGCCAGGTTTGTAAATTTGTTGATGGAGCCTCACGGATTTGTGAAATTCTTCTGGAAAAACATCCACATATAAAAAGTATTTGATCAGTATATGGGTTAAATGCACTGATAATAAATTCAGAGGCACCAGTCACGCATGGGCGTTGCAATAAGGACAGAGATTAAAGCACTTCTCCTTGATGCCATTTAGCCAAGAGGGAGCCCAGATCTGAATTCTCTACTCTGTTCTCCTTGTCGTTGTCTGTCTCCCTGGTGTCTTAGTTTGAGACTGCGCCTGCCTGAAGGCTGCCTGGTGAAATATCCCTGTGTGTGTCTGTCTGTTCCTAACAAACGGCTTGTTTGGTCTTTTTTTAAAAAATATGTTTTTGAATTTTATTTCTGATCATGTGTGTCTGGGTAATGTATGCCATGTGTGGGGTGCCCACAGAGGTCAGAGGCATTGGAGCCCCTGCACCTGGAGTTACAGACAATGTGAGCTACCTACTGGAGTCCTCTGGAGAGCAGTCCATGCTCTTAACCACTGAGCCATCTCTCTAGCCCCATCTCTTTTATTAAACAGCAGAGAAGTCGTCACATTGACAAGGAATGAGGAATGCAGAAATACTAATGTTAAATATTTACAGAAATATCTAACAGTTTCACAAGGAGTTAAGTCTGACTGCAGCTGACCCGGATAGCAAGCCCTGTCAGGCAGTAGCTGACTGCTGCTGTCAGCAGGTATGGTGGATATTCATTTTATAAGGCTGATTTCAGCCTATATGCTGTGTCCAGCAAATGATTATCGTAATACACACACAAACACACATGCGTTACTCCTGGGCCAAGAGCAAGGGGAGTACACCATTTGAGATTGTGGCTATGCATTGGCTTAGGTAATAAAGGGTTAGTTGGGGAATTCAAGGCAAGCAAGGCTGGTCGTTATATTGCTCTCTCAAAGGCAGGTTAAACAGACCGCAGGATAACAGTTTTAAGTGACCTCAAGGTGTATTATTAACTTTGGCTGTGAGCTTCAGCAAAAGTTCCAGTCTCTTGGAATGTAAGAGATACTTCTATCCCAAGGCAGGGCCACAGGTTAGTATATCAGAATTCCTAGAAAGCCAGAGCTTTCTAGGAATAAATAAATTGGTTTCTGCTGAATTGTTATAAACCAGCCTTGTATGAGTTCCTGCTATTACAGTCTTCTTTATACCTTGTTCTGAGACTGCGCCTCATTCTGTACTTCTGGGTGGCTTGAACTCAGGAGATCTGCTGCCTCAGCCTCTGAGCGCTCTAGTGGAATCTAGAGGGCTGGGATGCTTTAAACCCCACTGCTCGGAGGCAGGCAGCTCTCTTGTGCAACACCCAAGTGTATGTTACTTGTGCCTTTGAATTTATTATTAATGAGCTTAATCCATGTGCTTATCAAATACCTGTTATACATCTGGATTTTTTTTTTTTTTTCAGAAGAATTTTGTAAATCAGTGATGCTAACACCCCAGTGTGAAGTAGAAAGGCTCCATTAACAAATTTACAAACCTGGCTTGTAGTTCAATTGGGAAGGACATTCATTACTAATTAAAATAACAAAAAGGAAAAACAAGAATGAAGTGCCATCACACGAACCTGACTTTCATGTTTTGCCATAGGACCCTCAAAGCCGCTTTAAAATGTTATTGCTTTTTCTCTTATTAACTTTTTAGGAGTTGTTCGATGCTCTACAAAAATTTCTAGAACCTAAAAAAGATGAATTAATTTTGGAAGTTTCAAACCCACCACTCAAGAAAATTCGTCTACAAGAAGATGGGCTCGATAATTTGAGTGCAAATTGTAAGGAGGGAGTCTCTGTTGCTGAAGATGAAAGCATGGCCTCTAAGCCTTCAAATTTGAGTGTGTGCAATGTTTGCTTAGGAATTCTTCAGGGATTCTGCGAAAAAGAGTTTGTTACAAAGGTAAGCATCTGTTCCTCGTAAAACAGTGTGAGCCTTAAGGCTTTGAATCCTTACACATACCATTCCTGAACATACCATCCCTGTCAGCTTCGCTTAGTCCAGGCGGCCATAAAGTCTCTTCTTAGTTAAAAGAGCCCAACTATTCTGAAACGGTTATATCAACATATTGCAAAATTAGTAAAAACTGTCTGACCCTCAACATGTTGTCATGAAACTGCCAGTTGTGTAGGGTCAGAGTTAACACATACTTACCATCATGATGTTTGTGAAGAGATGTGGAAGTCTTTTGACTGTTTATGTCTGTTTTGGGCAGCACTAGGGATTGGCTGGGCACATGTTAGGCAGGTGCTGTGTCATGGGCTCGGCCCTGGCTCCCAAGGGAGTGCTAGGAAGCTGTGCACTGTCGTCTCCTGGGAGAAATATCTTCTTAGAGCCTCATTTTCAACAGTTCTTGGGAGTTACATATTTGTAATACTCCTTTAGGTGTGCCAAAAGGTTGAAGCCTCTGGATTTGAATTCACCAGCGTGGTTTTATCAGTCTCCTTCCCACCGCAGCTGTCAGTGAGAGAGGTAAGGTCATTTGCACACTTCAGAGTGAATGCAAAATGTGTGCTAGGAATTCCTAAATTTTAAACCACAAGCAGACAGAAAGTGGAAATGTAAGCTGGGTGTAGGTGCTCACGCTTGTAATCTCAGCACTGGGAATGGGAGCAGGAAGGTGAGGACCTTGAGGCCATCCGGGCATGCATGCTGTGTGTGCAGAACCAAGGCTGCAGTGCAGTGGCATGCTGGGACATGAGCAAGGGTGGCCAGAAATGCCTTGGATTTATTGCAGAGTTGATTTTGAATTAATGTTGGTGGTTGTGTTTTCAGAAACCTTTTGCTGTTGTCAGTTTTTCTTGCAGCCCCCCACATTCAGTCATGTGTCTCAGATGTGGCTGTCACCCACAGTCTAAAAAGCTACCTTGATCAACATCACATTTAGCTAAAAGTACAAAATTTGTTAACTTTTGAATGTGAAGTTTCTCCTAGATAGTGGGTCTTAAACTTCTAACGTGTAAGATTTATTCCGAGGTAGGCATGGTGGCTCTTGCCTGGGATCCTGGTATTCAGGAGGCTGAGGCAGAAGGGTTGCCCAACCAGTAAGAGTTTCCCAGAGATTTGAATGTATTCAGTCAGGTAGGGCCTAGGAATTTGCATTCAAAACAGAATGCTGTTGTAAGAGTACACTTTAAGAAATTAATACTGATAGAATTGCGCAAAAGAGTTACATGGCGGGTTCACAAATCACGCCACACAACTGGTTCCACATGGGAGGTTTATTACAGGAAGGGGAGGGGGTCGCAGAGACTGTCTCTGGACAAAGCAGGAGAGAAAGAGAGAGAGAAGAGGAGCTTTGAGTTCTCCTATAAGGCAACCCAGAGCATGCGCAGGTAGTTTCTGGTGGTCAATGGGTGGTCTTCTAGGTAGCCTCACAGATGCCGGATAACCGGTTCATCGGGTTTCTTAGGGCCGGCAGTAAAGATGCCTGCTTAAGGATCCCAACAGATACTCTTAAGTTTGGTTTGTTTGGTTTTTTTTCTTAACATTTTATTTTATTTTTTTATTTGTGTGTTTGTGACTGTATATATGTGTGTGCATATGTGTGAATGTGTATATGTGTCTGTTTGTGTGGGTGTGTATGTGTATGCTTGGGTGCATGTGTGTGTGTGTGTGTGTGTGTGTGTGTGTACCTGTGTAAACATCAGGACTACTTGCAGTAGGTGATTCTGTCTTTCTGCCACGTGGGTACCGAATATTGAAGTCAAGTCCATCATCCTTGGCGATAGGTGCCCTTATCTGCAGAACCATCTTGCCACTTCAAAATTAAGGATTAAATATATATGTGTATATATATACATGTATATATACACGTATGTATGTATTCATTTCTGAGAGTGAAGAGAAAAACATGAGCTATACGTTTTGGACAGGTAAACTTCAATTAATGTAAGAAAAACTGACATAGCATCTGGGTGAAAAGGTAAGTGCAAAGATGCTGGATGAATGACTAAGAAGAAGCAGAAAGGTAGAGTGATCCTTTAGGGCGGATGAGGGCTGCACAAAGGGAAGGTTTCCTAAATGGGCTCAAGTGTTCTGGCTTGGTAAATTACACTTCAGGATAGATTTAAACCAGCCAGAAGCTGCTCACAATCCTGAGGGCTGTTAAAAAGCAGCACATTTTCCAAGTGAGTGGAGACAAAGTGCAGTTCCAAACATGAATTAAGTTGCTTCTGGAAATTAGCAGCCGTTGAGTTGTGGACACTGAGCATGAGGAAGAATGACAGAGAACAAGTTTGCTGAGAGCGCAGTGTGCAGCCTCTGCCAGAGCTGCCAGTGTGGGCAGCCTCAGCCAGCTGGCTGACCAGTCTTCCTTCTCAAGGTAACTTCCTGAAAGTAGCTGTAGCGTGGGTGGGGCCCGAATACAGTTGGCTGGATTGTGCTGGGCTTTCTGTATCTGAAAGGATCAGAGTGGGTGACTCATCTCAAGCGGGACAGTGTTCCTAAACATGATATGAGGATCAGCCATGTGAAACTTTATTGCGGAACGATGTTACAATAGTTGCTGGGTCTTGACTTTCTGTCCTTCCAAATCCTAATCTCCAGAAGTGGGACACAGAAGCCCTCTGACATGTGTGCACATTGGACACAAGCATCACTGCACCGAAGGGACATTCCTCACGAGCTTCAGGGCTCTTCCCTGCTCTCTTCTGAGCATGGTTTCTTGTAGTGACACTGTAGTGAGAACCCTCACTGTGGGCTGCATGACACGGGGTGAGAGTGCAACGGGCATGCTGGGTGTCAATTCACAAAAGAGCTGATGAATAAGGTCAGTTTAAGAAGACAAAATAAGGATAGATATGCCAAATAAGTGGACGACTTACTCTGTTTACAGAGACGCCTCTGGGGTGTAGGTTTGAATTGGTTAAAGAGACACTGAGCCAATTAGATGATATGAAATGGGATACAGTGTGGAGAGTGCTTGGGTCTCAGCCCGGCTGAAAAGGTGGCGCTTCTCTGCTTAGTGCTCCTGTCCTTGGAATGCCATTCTTAGATGAGTGTTTCTGCTTTACAAGGAACAAAGGCAAGTGGGATGGCATTGGGTTAGTCCATGTTCAGAAGGCAGGCTCAGGCTGGATGTAGTTCTCATCCCAAAGGACTTACCCGGGACGGATGTGCTTTCTAACACTGGGATTAAACCAAGGGCCGACAGCACCTGGCAGGAAGGGCTTCTTACCACGCTTTCAGCTCTAAGATCCAACATGGTTTTAAGGAAAACTAGGTTAGTGCCGTTGCCTCACAACAGCACTAACCTGAAGCGGGAGGGGGGGGAGGGAGTTTACATTTTTTCACTTCCGATAAAGAGGACAAAGACAAATTAGTGATTCCAGCCAGTGAGCTTGGTGAGCGTAAGTGCCTCGGGCAGCCATGTTACTAAAGGGCCCACCTCAGCAAAAATGATGACCAATGAAACCTGCATGCTGGGCTCCCTGAACAACCCAGCTACCCACCCAACAGTCTGTGTCTCCCTGCACTTGTTTGCCAGTTGTCTAATCTCTGGTGAGGACCTCATGAGTCTTGTAACTTTTGTGACCTTCTTGAGTCCCATGAGTTTAATGTTTCTTTTAAAATATTTGTGTGTGACATATGTCACACTGTGCCTGTGGACGTCAGAAGACAGCTTGCAGGAGTTGCTTCTTTCCTTAAAATATGTGAGTACCAGAGAGCAAATATGGTTGTCAGGCTTGGCCACAAGTACCTTTAGCTGCTGAGACGTTTTGCCAGCCCTCCTGTCATTCCATGGGCCTCATGACTGTCCCTGCCCCTTTTATGAGAGAATGTTTCAACCCTGAGAAAATGGCTACACAATAGTCTTCCCTTTCTGCTGGCTTTTATACTCTCCTGCCCCTTCTTCTGCATGTTCCTAGGCCTTGGAGGGGAGGGGCAATGAAAGTGTGTGATTACTATCTTCCATTTCTGGCCGAGCCTTTGGTCACTGTGCCACAGCAGTAGATTTTCATTCTCAGAGATTTGACTGGTGGCTTGCTGTAATAACCATCTCTCATTGCAAAAGATATGTTTCCTTCTGTTATTGAGGCTGAGAGCCCAGGATGGGTGTAAACACAAACGTTTGGAAATCAGCTTGATAAGGGAACAGTAGAGCTCTCCACTGTCGCCTGTGACTCCTCAGTCACAAGTGTTTGTCCTGGGCCTGCAGCACACTGCGGGGTTCCTTCCTGTGGTGGGAGCCGCAATCCAGGCGGACTTCTGTTGTTGTTGCCCTGCTTTTGAGACTGGCTTCTGTGAAGTCAGTGACAGCACTGCGCTGAAGCTGCTAACCAGACTAAACCAGACCAGACCAGACTTAGGCTAAACTGGGATGAGTATTCCAGTCTTGCTAATTCTTTGAGGGTTAGCTTTACCACCTGAATCCAGCAGAGGGCGAGATTGTCTCACCAGTGTGGTTCATTTTCACACGCCTGCTAGTGCAGAGCGGGTCCCTTAGCTCGCCCTGGTGATTTCAGATTGTCTCCTAAACGTTACTGTGATCATCCGAAACACCCTGCTTCTCAATGTGGAGGTCGTTTTGTTTATCAAATCAAAACGTTACATTTCTTGTCTCCATTCTTTGCATTAAATACTCCAAATTAGTTAAGAATAAAAGTACCAATTCTGTAGCAGTACTTTTTTACTTAAAAATTCTCTTTTCTTAAAATTTTGTAAGTTAATATTTTTAAATATTGGTTTTAGTTAAATTAGTGGGCTCGTTGCCGGTTTGGATCTGTTGATCTCATTAGGATCAGAAAAAAAAGGAATGTGCAGACTCACTTGGCATAGTGCAGTTCTTGTAATCCGGTACTTACAGGAGTGTGAGTTCAAGGCTAGCCAAGGCTAGATGCTGGTTCCCTATATTCAAACAAACAAAAAGAAAGAAATAGAATGCACACACTCAAAGATTTGCATGCATTTACAGACCATGGGGTTTTTCTGAATTGGATCCTGTAGTAAAATCTCCCCCCTTTGCTAATGTTCTTACTATTCTGGAGGACAGTGGTTTTTCTAGTTATGTTTAGTCCCCAAATCTAACTGTAAATATAGAGAACTACTCATTTAAGATTGTAATGTCAGCTGTGCATGGTGGCACACACCTGTAATCCCAGCATTTGAGAGAAAGAGGCAGACAGATGTCTGTAAGTTCGAAGCCAGCCTGGTCTACAAAGTGAGTCCAGGGCAGCGAGGGCTTCACAGAGAAGCCCTAAAGATTGTAATGTGTGCGTAGAGCTGAGCTGGCTGTCTTCTGATTCAGCAGTTATAGTTTCTTCTTTCTCTTCATTTTTCCCGTTTTTCAACTTATAATTTGTGTGGCAGATACCCCTTCTAGATATCCGACACACCAGAGGTCTGCTCTCTTCTTCTGTCCTTTCTGAGCTTAGAAAGATGGGTTTAAAGTCTGTTTTAGCATCCGTGGCCCCTGATTACTCTCTGCAAGGTCTGTGGTCCAGGGTTTTAAAGTACACAGGCTATGTGTG